TATAATAGAAATATAAAAACAAATAGATTACTCTTTGTATTCTATTTATAATTTTGAATTTTGATACGGTAAGCGACTAAATACCATGTATTTTGTTTTCGAACAATTAATTGTTGTTCCTATTTCTTGTCCCTCCAAGTTAATCGACTCTGAAAGACATTACAGTCCATTTAAGTCATCGTTCAATTTAATATTGGTCTGAAGCTGTTTTCTTGTGGCATTGTAAATTAATTACTATTTAACTGGGAATAAGCCACAATTAAAGATAAAAATACGTTTATTGACGTTTCAATTTCCACTTCGGAATTTGAGAACGAAAAAAAAAATGTATTTTGAGAACGATTTCCGAAGTGGAAATTGAAACGTCAATAAACGTATTTTTATCTTTAATTGTGGCTTATTCCCAGTTAAATAGTAATTAATCGTTCAATTTAGTTTGTTTATTGTTTGTTCGGTGTACCCGTTGTTTACTGCTATTTGCTTAATGATATTTAATTCTAGCTGGAAGTTATTTTTTGTCATGTGAATTACTAGTGTAATGTAACATACTAAGGTAGGCTGCTAATTTATTATGTGTAGAATTTGTCGATACCTGACAACTTTCCTCCATCATCATCAATCCATCTCCTTCGTGGTCGTCCTCTACTTCTTGTGCCCTTTGATTTTGAAGTTGTTAATCTATTCGTGTATTCGCGATCTGACAACCTAGCGATGTGTCCAGCCCATCTAAGTCTCTGCACTTTAACGAATTTCACAATATCTGAATCAGTGTATAACTGACATAGTTCAAAGTTGTATATTAGCTCATAGCCATAGCCCATTTTCATTTGCCGCCCCTAAAATCTTTCTCAGAATTTTTCTCTCCAAAATACCAAGAAGTCTTTCATCATTTTGAGATAAAGTTCACGTTTCTGCCCCATATATCAAAACCAGTCTTATTAAGGTCTTGTATATATTGACCATTACTGCACGTTTTATATTTTAATTTTTTATATGTTTCTGGAGACCGCGGAAAGTTTTGTTTACTATTGCTTTGCGTCTTTTTATTTCGTCACTTGTCGTGTTTGTTGCGTTTATTAGTGATCCAAGCATCGAGCAAAAAGACAAAAGAGGGAATGTAAAGGTAGTGGGGGCAAAAATATTGTTAGACAGAAAGTGCGATCTTTAGAGGCCACATTAAACAAGGAAAGAGAGTCTCTCTCCTTGTTTGACTGGTCTCCTTTTCATAAGGATTAGATTCTCTCTTTTGTCTTTTTACTCGATGGATCCAAGATACGTGAATTCTTTGACTTGTTCAAATGTATAGTTGTTAATTAGAATTCTCTGTTGGATATTTGGGGGGTTTTAGAAACCAACATATATTTGATTTTTTCCTCATTTACCACAGTCCAAATTTACTTACCGCGTCCACAAGCTTTGTAAAACACTGCACCATGTCCATCATACTTCTGTCCACTATAACTATATCGTCAGCGAATGCGAGTATTTGCGTCGATTTATTAAAAATAGTTCCAATCATTCTAATATTTAATTGTCTGATTGCCTTTTCCAAGGCAATATGAAAGAGAAGACACGCAGGCACGTCCCCCTGTCTTAGGCCATTATTAATGTCAAAAGAACGTAGAGTTTTCTCCTTCAATTCTAGCGCATGAGCTTACGTTTTGCATTGTTGGTTGGGTTAATGTAACTAACTTAGGTGGGATTCTAAAGTCTATCATTGCATTATATAATGCATTTCTTTTCACACTGTCAGAGGCTGCTTTAAAGTCAACGAAGAGGTGGTGTGTATTAGTGTTACATTCTAGTGACATTCTAGTTCTTATACTACAGTTATACTCCATTCGCTTAGCTCGGGCATATTTTGACAGATTCATTGTCGGAAACCTACAACATAACAATTCCTACTTCTCAATATTAATAGCTCATGTATACTACTATTGCAGACTTCTTTCTTTAAAAAAGAAGAATTATTCTAAATAGTGGAAGTGTATACTAAACCCATCAAATTTTGGGTAGTATATATTTAAAAAATATATTTTAGTTGTTATAATTTAACATAACTATTTATTATATGGTGCAGATAAATAAATATTGATTGTCGGTAATACGCACAGTTCTATTTTATTTACTATTTAGTTTGTTTACTATTAATATTGGCTAATGAGTACGTATGCTTGGTTGTATAGTAATTTTCAACCACTTTTATCTGTCAAAAAGTAACTACGCAAAAAAATAATTACTAAATTCACTAGACAATTCGGACTGGGAATATCGAACCAAGTATAATCACCCTTTTTATGTAACGGACATATTATTCCTTTTAGCCACTCTTCTGGTACCAATTCATTCTGCCGTATAAGTACTATTAGTTTATGGATTGCTGCAAAAAGTTGATCACCACCTTTTTTTATACATTTCCGAAAAGATTTCATCGATTCCTGGGGCTTTATTATCTTTAAGTTTTAGGATGGCATTTGACACTTCTTCTCTTGTTGGGTCTTCACTGTGTAGTTGACGTTATAAATTTTGTTGATTGTCTGTGTTATAACCTCCTTCAATATCGTTTATATTTAAATTTTCGCTGAAATGTTATGCTCATCTGTTAAGAACTGAGTTTTTATCATGTAGAATTTGACCGTTAGTGTCTTTACAAATTTTTAATCGTAGTTTAAATTCTCAACGGCTATTATTTAAGGATTTACAGTATTATATATTTCCTGGTTTCAGTTTTATCGAATAAACTTTGTATCTCATTGATAGTGTTATGTCCGCATTCCCTCTTCTTACATCGATGGATACGTTTTTCCTCTCCTCTCTTCTAAGACATCTATACTCTTTTTTTTTCTCCGTTTACAACCTGCGTCGATATTTTTTGGATATGCTGCGTTCTCTCTATTTGTGACCATTTCGCACTCACGATCAAACCAATGATTTTTTCTGACTTGTACATATAAGTCAGAAATTCTTCTTCTAAGTTTTCTGTCCTTATTTGATCTTCTATTTGCTGTCTGTATAGATTTGCAATGTCGGGATCTTTTAGTTTATTAATGCCAATTTTTCTCTCCTTTTTCCGATCTCATTTTTTAAATTGGATATTCTCTTTTTAAATCGTGCTTTAACTAAATAGTGATCGATCTCTGTTTGCTCCTCTAAAAGACCTAACATCTAATAGGTTAGAGCAGTGTCTTGCATAGATGATTTTATGATCTATTTAGTTAATCGTTTCATTATCAGAAGATTTCCAAGTTCCCTTATGTATATCTTTATGAGGAAATCGTGTCCCAGCTATTACCATGTTCTTAGACATCGCAAAATTTATGATTCTGAGACCGTTATCATTAGAGTCTACGATTAGACTCTCTTTTCCGATGATGGGCGAAAATATATTCTTTCCTCCGACTTTGGCATTAAAGTCTCCTGCTATTATTTTGATGTCATTTTTTGGGCACCCTTCGTACTCTCGATCGAGTGCCTCATGGAACATGTCTTCCGTTGGAGCGTAAATGTTAATAATTCTAATATTAGCGAACTTCCCTTGAAGTCTTATTCGACATATCCTATGATCAATAGCTTTGAAATTAATTACACTACGTTTGACCTTACTGCTTACAATAAATCTGGTAGCAAATTTGTGTTGGGTAGGATGTCCACTGTAGTAAATTGGAGGAAGTATTGAAAACAAAAGTTTTTAGTATTTTATTGTTAGATAAAATGAACTTCAATCAAGTAACGGTCGAATACATAACTCTACTTTACTTACTTAATCAGTAGACCCATTTGTACCTTTCGCTGTTGGGCCATTTATAATACAATTCATTAAATTACAATATTTTGCAATCTTCTGAGGTGTCCTAGCTATTAACGAACTTTATCCATTCCTTCCTATTGAGTGCCATCTGTGTTGCTTCCTGCCAAGTCCTTACTCTGCAGTATCTGCGAGATGTCACTGTTCCATTCTTTAATGGGTCTTCCTCTTCTGTTCTTCCCTATTGGTTTGGCGTCCCACACTCTTTTTACTTGTCTATTATTGTCCATCCGGGTTAGATGTCCGAACCATGCCAATTTTTTTTCCTTGATTGAGTCGAGTATCGGTTTGATTTAGAGTCTTTCTCTTATTTCTTCATTTCTGATCCTGGCTGAATTCTGCTCTGATGTCTTTTGTTTAATATCCAATTTTCTGCTCCATAATATATGTCACTGTAGGTCTATATCTTCTTATCCATTTGTGTAATGGATAAGACTAATGGATAAGAAGAGAAACGAGTGGATAAGAGAGAAAACAAAAGTGAGGGATGTTAGACAAGAAGTTGCAAAATTGAAATGGAGATTTGCCGGATGGAAAAGGATTGGGGAGGCCTATGTCCAAAGATGGATCGAAGAAGGCTGATTAGATAGATAGATAGATAGGTCTATACATTGTTTTGTATATTGTCATCTTGATCTTTGTTGATATCTCTTTGGTATTAAGGAATCCTCTATTTAGTACTTGGAATAGTTTTCCTGTGTTTTCCATTCTGTTGTTAAGATCGTCCTCGATGTCGCCTTTGTTGTTGATTACTGTTCCTAATACTAAGTATTTGTATGAATTTGTCTGTATTATTTTTCGTTGGTCTATCATTACTTTTATTTAATCTTCCATCCCTTGTTTCCTTGATATTTTCATTATCTGAGTCTTCTCTTTGTTTACGTTTAAGTCGTATTTGCTTGCTTCTAGGTTCCATTTCTCTAAGTTGTATTTCAGTTGATCTGGTATTTCCGCAATTAATACTATGTCGTCTACAAGTATACACATCTCAGCGTTTATCATTTGCATTCTGTTCCAACCGATGCAGTATTTCTTGAATGTTTTCTTACATTCTTTCACTATCTCATCTATTACATTTATGAATAGCTCTGGGCTGAGACTTCAAGATTCATAACTTAAATAAGTTAATAATGACGTACCCTAAAATTGGAAGGAAATCTTTCACACATAAGTAAACTATTTTTCTTGTTTATAGGCAAATTGCAACCAGTAAGTTTGAACCAACATTCGCCAGACAAGCCTATCCCTGCTTTGATGAGCCCAATTTAAAAGCCAAATACAAAGTTCATTTATTGAAACCAAAGGATAGTTCCTACATAGCTCTATCTAATTATCCTGTAGAGGTAAGTAATATGCTAATGTTGTATTATGAATCTGGAAGGATAAGCTAGGATTAATTAGGGCTGTATTAGAAGACAACTTACATTTGTTTGTTGTTTCATCCGATAGATATCTTAAAACGATTACCTGATATACAGTGTGTCAATTTTAAAATTTACAATAGACTGTATCTCACGAACAAAAGCTGATATCGAAAAATGCTTGAAAACCGTTTTCTCGGATAGTAAGGGGAATTAAAATGACATGAAAAGAACTCACCCTCATCAACCCCCTAGGCCTCACCCACCCAACACCCAAAATAGTTGCAAATCCCTACTTGTAAACATACATCCTTAAAAAGACTATAAAAAATCCTATCCAAAGGTAGAAATAATAATTATACAGGGTGCAGTGATAATTGTGAAACATTGGCTTAAATGTAAAATTTAATGAGGTTTTTGTTGTTCTACAAATTTGTTAAAAATGTCAATTAAGTAAATGTGCGTTCCTTTGTTTTGTAGACAATAATACAGCCTATTTTCAATTCTGCAACTTAACATTGGCAAATGTTGGTCTAGTAATAGCGCAACATGCTTGTGTAATTCTTTCTCGCATTTCCCTCCCTCCACTGTGCAAGTGACGCAAGTTGAGTTTTATAAACAACTGACCTGAGGTAACTCCATAGAAAAAAAATAGGAACTCCTCATTCCAAACCATTTGTTCGGATAATTAGTATCCAATCAGTGCCTAACTGGAGCTGCATAGTGAGGAGGTGCTCCTAGCTCCAAGAGCTAGGTTTCCTTGATCGTCCCTTTGCTTACCTAATTCATGCACAATTGAAGGTTGGATGGTGTTTTCCAGCATATCGAGATAAATGTCGCCACTTAAATTGCCCGGTATGAACATAGTCCAATAAAAGCATCGCCTAATATTCCTGCCCAAACATTTAGTTTTCAGGATAATAAGTGTGACCTTCTCTGAATCGAGGCGTGTTCACATCACTCCAGTAGGTACCGACAGTTTTGTTTATTTACGTTACCATTCAGCATAAAATTACATTCATCACTGAAAAAAATATTTTTTAACATTCTCGCTTCAATGCGAATTCTTTCAGTCCACAAAACTTAATTCGTCGGTCTGGATCATCATCGCCTAGTTCTTGAAGAATTTGTTTTTTGTACAGGTGAAACTTACGTAATTTTAACACCTTTCTAACCGACTCATGTAAAAGATCTTTCATTGCAGATACTTGACGTGTTGATTCAGCTGTTCGTAAATAACACTGGTTCTGGGAGGCAAATATGAAAATGATCTCCACGCGTTCAGGTATACTGTAAACCATCGTGACAACTACAGCTGAATGACAGTACCGATCGTACAAATGATGAAAATAAATGACTTTAAAATTCTCTAATAAACTAAAATTTGTTGAATCTGATAGAACCAAAAAACAGATATTTTCAACTTGTTTTGCAAAACGGCAAACAAAAATTCCGACGGGCTCTTATCATTAAAATATAATAGTCCGGGAGATAGTATTACAAATACAAAAGTCATAGTAAGCCGGCTGATATTAACACCCTGTATAATTATTAAATAATAATTTAAATTATTATTAATATTAATTATACAGGTATACAGGGTATAATTATAAATAATAATTATACAGGGTCATCAGCACAAACCTCATTCATTTTCCATTTAAACCAAAGTTTTACAATTATTGCTTCACCCTGTATAATTATTATTTATACCATTGGATAGCATATTTTAAAGTCATTGTAATGATGTATCACAAGTAAGGGTTTGCAATTTAATCTTTTTTGCTTGTGGTGGGTGGGCCTAGGGTTGATGTGGTGAGTTCTCTTTCATGTCATTTTAGTTCTCCCTTATTATCCTAGAAACGGTGTCAAGCATTTTTCGATATCAGTTGAGATATACCCTTTGTAAGATTGTTGTGTCTTTTAAGGTTTATATTTAATCGAGGATAATTATTTTTTATCTACAAAAGACAGTATGAGACTATAGGAAAAGCTTTTAATAAAATAAAAAGATTGATAGAAAACAGTTTGGAAAAATGAATCTTAATTTTAAATTATCGATTAAATTTAAAATTAACTGCTTATTAAGCTATTTATTTAAACTTTTTGACATTTTTGTTGCATTGACTCAAAGTTAAGTAAATATGTTATTAGATCAAAACTAAATTTAAAAAAATTAAGCCTCAAATAATTTGTTTGCAAATTCTGACAGATTTGTACCATCAATAGTTTTCTTTGTCACACATCATGAGGTTCATGATTTACCCTCATACAGTCAACCAGATGATTCCATTGGTTTCTATGTTCACCTGCCGTACGTGTTTTGTAAAAAAACCGGTTCATTAAATGCTGGATTTGTCAGTCCACCGAGTTTGTAACCACACCCTTGCTCTGCTTCTGGGAACATTTCCGCAGACAATCAATCTTTTTAAATCATTTTTGTTCCTGCGAGCCATATACTTAAAGAACTAAAGAATTTACTGTGCTACATCTTGTAGGCAGCCGTGTTGTCACATATTAAGTTGGTTTGAAATAGAAGCGTTTGCACCAGAAGCAGTCATCATATCAAATGCATCTATATTTACGCATTATAACCGAAGAGTCAAAGAATCAAATATTGACAAGATGAACTTCATGAGCATTATATAAAACTAAATAGTTGAAGCTGTTTTTTAACTATTTTACATTTAGGCGTTTTGTTATTTGTACCATTGTATTAGTATCAATCTCTTTATCATGCCTAATCTACGTAACTAATACCTAATTTGGTTAACAAAAAGCTCCTGTTAATAATTTCATTATACCTAAATGATGACGAAAACTTATTGACTTATTACTTTTGAAAAGTCTTACTATTAAAGTATGTTTTTTGGATTATTTTGTTTTTTGTAGAATGTAACCGATTACGACAACGACCACCAACTGGTTACTTTCGATGAAACTGTATCAATGTCGACGTACCTTTCATGTTTTATCGTTTCCGATTTTACACATACCGAAACGTCTTTCAATAATAGCGGAAAAGTTGTACCCCTTAAAGTGTTTGCTAGCCCTGAAAATTTGGATAAAACTAGATATGCAGGAGAAGTGGGAAAGAAAGTCATCGAATATTACGTACAGTACTTTCAAATGCCTTATCCTCTGCCAAAATTGGGTGAGTAAAATGTGAAACAATACCTAAATATTTATATAATATTGACTTAGTGGTTTTCCACGTAACATTTGGTTTTCCCAACTACGCAACCGTAGATTTATTATACCATTATTTTTATATTTATAGTAATATGAATTCTAATTTCTGATTTTATTATTTATATTGGCGAAACAATGTATTACACAACAAACATCAAAATATTTGTGTTCCCATCTTGTCAGCATAATGAATATCAATGTTTACTGGTCATAAATTAACTATACATAATAAATAAAGGAGGCATTTAGGACCGTAAGAACTAGAAAGGAATAAAGTTAATGTCGCACCCAATGAAATATTGGAAGGAACTGTAGGGAGACATCGATAGGAGAAGAACAGTTTGGGTTTACACCAAGAAGAGAACAACTCATGCCTTGTTTGCTGAAAAATAGAGTTACATTTGGTATTTATAGATCTTGAGAGGACGTACGACACAGTTCCTAGACAAGAGCAAGTCCTAGACAAGGAGATGTCTGAGAGAGAGATATGGATTCCTAAGAAGTATGTAAGGATATGTATGAATAAGTCTACACCAAAGTACGAACTTGTATCGAATTGACCGAAAGTTCCCAGTGACGCAACGGTTGGTTGCATCAAAGATCATTCACTGAGTTTTTTACCTGTTTAATCTTGTTATGGATGTACTGACAGAGAAGGAAGAAAGAAGGTAAGATTAACACGATATTATGCTAATAATATCGTGTTAGTGGAGGAGAGCCACCAAGATTTGCCAGATTGCCAGAATGATTTCCAATCTCCGATAGGAGTGGAACTTGAAGAAGAAGGAGGAGAGTAAAGAAATGTTGGCGGAGAAGATGTAGAGGTGGAGAAGGACTATTGAAGAAGCTTAAGGGTATCAGGTCGAAAACGGAGTATATCTGGCTGGAGGAGCAGAAATGGTTGGGTACGGAAAGGAAAATATGATACTCGATCGAGAAATCATCCACAGGATACAGGCTGGTTGGTTTAACTGGAAGCGAATGAGCGGGGTACTCTATAAAATCGGGTAAGGGATGAAAGCAAAGATTTGCAAGAGTGTGGTGAGCCTGCGTTGGTGTACTGTGGTGAAGTCTATAAAGAGAATTTAGGAAGAGAATATAAAGATCGCTGAAATGAAAATGTTGCGGTGGACGTTGGGTAAGACTAGAAGAGACAGGATCAGGAACGACTTAATTAGGGAAAGAGCCAAGACTAAAAAGCTTCAGGAGCAAAAGACTGCAAGAGGACTTGAGAGATAAGGTTCACGTGAAGAAGACACGATGTACAAAAATAACTGGCGAAGAAGAGTAAGGAATAGCGACCCCTGAAAACGGAAAGATAGACAGTAGATAGAAAATAGACTGAACTATAATGGAAGTTTTGATTTTAAAAAGACAAAGCGCTCCACTAAAATAAGTGAATGATATTGGAAACATAACTGGACCAAACTAGACGAAATTCGGAGAGCGTAAATATGGAGACTCCAAAAAAGCAGCAATGTATTGATGACAGCTAGAAGAAAGAGGTAAACATATGTATTTTGTATGTTTGTAACTTAACTTTACTTATTATTATTTGTATAATAATATTGTGTTTTATATTTTTTTCTAGATCTGGTTGCTATTCCTGATTTTGTATCAGGCGCTATGGAACACTGGGGTCTTGTCACTTTCAGAGAAACCGCTCTTCTGTATACAAATACAACCCATTCAAGTCTAATAAACAAAGAGTGGCAACTGTAGTGGCACACGAATTAGCTCACAGTTGGTTTGGAAATCTAGGTAAAAAACTCCATATCCATGTTTAAATTTATAATTACTTTTCTAATAGGACTTTTACTAAGCACTGTTTCTCGTTTTATATTTGTTTTATTTACTTTTAAATTTACGTAATCATTGTGCATAATTTATAATTTTAGTTGTGTTTGTATTAATCTATCTGTTAACTTTATTTATTCATGGGTCACCTCGTCAAAGGAAGAAGAACATACGTGATTCATCGGATACATCCATATTCTCATCATTTAGCAGTTTTATTACTTCTATGTAGATTTCATCTAGTTCTGCTGCCTTTCGTTGCTTACTTTATTTTATTTCCTTTATGATTTCAGTTTTAAGTATTTTTGGAGAAGGTTAACGTTTATATTGGTCGGAAATATTCCGCTGATTATTCTCTGCATAGATGTTGGGTATACGTTTTACCGTGATGAAGAAGTATCTTAGGGTCCGGTATTTTGTTAAGACTACAACATTGTATGGCTATATCAAGAATGCAACAAAATAACTTAAAGGTGCAACACAAAAATATAGAATCGGTGAAAGAGTTCTGCCTCTTAGGGTCACTGGTTGACTATAAAAACAACACATCCAAAGAAATAAGAGAAAGAATATGCCAGGCTAACAGCTGTTATTGTGGCCTAGCCCTCAACGAGACATATGTCAAGAGCAACAAAATGCAAACTTTATAAAACAATAATAGGTACTCCCACTGCTCACTTACGAATTGGAAACATAAGCAATGACAACCCGATATAATTAGTCACAATCGTTTAACGAACGAGGTTAACGAACGAGGTTAACGAACAGGGTCTGTGGAGAAGGCAATACAACTTCGGACTTTTCGGACAATAGACTTTTTGGTGATGCAGAGATCGTGAAACCATCAAAATGAACGCCTAAGATGAGTGAACCATGTTATGCGGGTGGAAGAAAGTGATCCTTTTAAAATAACCATGCTAAAAAAGCCGGTCGGAAGAAGAAGGGGGTAACCAAAGCTCAGGTATCTGAGCGATGTATAGGACGATTTAAGGGATATTGGAGTAAGGGGATGGAGGAGACAGACACTTGACAGGGAAGGATGAAGAATGTTTTAAGGCAAGCCAGGGTTCATAAACGGCTGTAGCACCAACTGATAATGATGACAATATTTTACTCAGTTATTCTTTTACTAATTTGTGTATGTTGTAGTGATCATGTAATCTCAACACGGTATACCTGAGTATGTAACTTTGGGGCTGCTGATACACGTTTTATTGAGTATCGGTGAGTATTTATACTGTACAACTAGGTGAGTGGATACATTGGAATAATCAGCTTGAAAAATCATAACTATTTCTAGGATGTTTTGCATTACTATTAAAGCATCACTTCTACAGTTGATTCTTCAAGCGAAATTGAGGGCAGGAGCGACTGGCTAGACAATCTTAGTAAATAGACTGTTCTAACGTCAAGTGATTTATTTTGAGATGCTGTGAATAGAATAAGATGGGTCAATGTGGTTGCAACATAACTAGAAGATAGGCACATTTAGATTTAGAAGATTGAAGTGTACTGTTTTGTGTGAATAGTATTTTGGATATGTCCCCTAAAGTAAAGAATAGATGTCCACTAAAATTAAAAACAAATAACAGATCCAAGTTTCCCATACTTTAGTACTCTGGTAGCTATTTAGGATTTCCTTTATTGGATACTAATCTTGATTGCATATGATGTTTACATGTAGGTACATAAGTTACATGCACGAAGTATTTGTCTTATATAATCGATGCGAAAACATTTTAAATGGGAAGCTGATGTTTATCGTTTATCTATAAAAATCTTTATAGCTTTCACTGTTGGAGTGAAAATCGAAATCTGAACGACGGAGAATATTAAATCGTATATTTTTGTTTACAATTTAAAGAGATATTTATTTGTTTTTATTTTTAGTCACGATGAATTGGTGGAATGATTTGTGGTTAAATGAAGGATTTGCCTCTTACATTGAATACAAAGGAGTTTTAGCAGCAGAACCTACTTGGGGCATGGTAAATTAAATATACTCTTTTACTTTAAAATATTATATTTCCTGAATGAAATCGTTCCGATTTGCAAACATTTAGAACAAAGGGATACTAGGCGCACACTAAAAGTTTTACATAGGGCCACCTAGCGGAAGTTACTAGGGTTTATCTAGAGCATATTTAAAAACTATCGTGAAAAAAAATGGAAATGTTTGGAAAACATTTTCTTCAGATCTTAACAATTTTAAAAGTTGGTCAAACTAAACAACCTTGGTCGACTTCATCTTAGTTTTGGTAATAAAGTACCAGATCCATCTTTTCACAGATGATTTGAAGGATTTAAACGTGGATCAATTATCCTCAGTGACGAATCCCATACAGGCCGTCCAGCCACAGATGTTGTTCTTGCAAGCATTGATGCTGTGCGCGTTATGGTTGAAACAGATCGACATATTACCCATGTTGAGATTCGTGCGTCGTTGGGTATAGACGTGAGTCGACTACAAACAATATTGACCATTTGGCAGTGAGATATTAATTTGACTGCTGCTCATAAGAAGGCACGGTTGGTGCCGGGTCACATTAAAACGATTCAAAGGAGGCAGCTCCAATTTGGTATTGACCTGGTTATGAAGCACGGATATATTGCTCTCAGCTCAAACGAAAAATCAATCTATGATATACGAGCCCAGATTCATATGAATTGGACCAAAACCAATAGTTAATACAATTCCAATTTTTTGAATTAGAATTTATTTTATTATTATAAATTAAACGAATACAATTAAGCCTTGTTGCTACTATGTGGTTCTGCCAATTATTTAACAATATATAATACTTTTATCAACTCTTTTATCAATAATTATAAAATAAATGAATGAAATGAGGGTTGAATGCTCGAATAAATGAACTTTGAAAAGAAGGCTATTATCGAGCACAAGTTAATTAAATCTAGCCCAAGTACTTTCGCTTAAAATAGCATCTTCAGGGGCATTTCGTCAAAATGTGAACTATCCGGCAAGCGTAGAATGTGGAAACATTAAAAATATCATAAATTGTACAAAACACTACACTACAACGAGGACAAACAGTTTAAAATTACTTCTACGCTACATTCTCTGTCAGTATCTGGAGGGATAAATTATTTTTTATTATTACATTATCCCTCCAGATACTGACAGAGAATGTAGCGCAGAAGTAATTTTAAACTGTTTGTCCTCGTTTTAGTGTAGTGTTTTGTACAATTTATGTTATTTTTAATGTTTCCACATTCTACGCTTGCCGGATAGTTCACATTTTGACGAAAATGCCCCTGAAGATGCTATTTTAAGCGAAAGTACTTGGGCTAGATTTAATTAACTTGTGCTCGATAATAGCCTTATTTTCAAAGTTCAATTATTTACAAAAAGAAAAAGTAATGTTTGGCACAAATTAATTGTACCACCCCCCAATTAGTGATAAATATTTTTTTTACTTTACTTTAGTTTACTTTAGTTACCCAAAGATTGAATTTATTTACTTGATAAAATGGTTCGCGTAAAGCGATTATCTAACTATTTATGAAATTTTATTGTTACGGCACATAACAAAGGACTTTCTGGACATAAAATTACTTAAAATTTGAGTATTCCCAAGGAACTGTGAGAAATATAATTTTAAAATTAGAAACACAGGAAAAGTTTAAAACTGGTCGTACTTTAAAGATTACCGAAAGAATTGAACGTGCCATTGGACACTTTTAAATAAGATCCCCGTGCTTTTTCTCGAGTATTGACTGTAAATTATGCCATTCTGTTGATAGACCAATTTCAAAAGACACTTGTTTGAGGATAATGAAAAAAAATGGGCTATTGTATGGGGTTTGGACCTGTATAGTTCTCTCAAGAAGTTGGACATCCACTTTTTCACAAGTTCAAGAGTATTTTACAAGAAGAATGATTGTCTTTCATTAATGAAATTCAACTACCTGATGGGAGATTTATATTTCAACAAGATGGCACAGCCTGCTATACAGCGAAATCCGTAACATCGTGTTTGCAGAAAATTAATATTAATTGTTTTAAAATGGCCTTCAAGCAGTCCTGATCTATCCCTTATCGAGACTCTTTGTTCAGGAAATTTGGAATAACTTTCAACCAGATTACTGCCAAAGCTTAGTAGGCACTATGCTAAAGAAAACTAATACTGTTTTAGAACGTAAGTGTGACTACAATTGGTAACATTTACTAAATATTTGGTTCAGATAATTTGCGCCAAATAATACTTTTCCTTTTTGTTTATTTTATAATTATTGTAGTTGCCAAAAATATTATGTATTTTTTAATAATTTGAAATCGTATCCGCTTAATTTACAACAGTTAAACAAATTCTAAGTCAGGAAAATAAAAGTGTATATAACCGTTTGTTTGTCAGAAGTAATTGATTGGCAGTTGATGGGCCGTCCGGTATACATTCTTGAGTTGGCATCCTTTGATTTCTTTGCGTTTTTGAGAATCACACTATACGGTGCTGTAAACGTATTAAGATACCAGATGATGCGCACGAAACACAAAAAACACGTGAATTCGCTTTAAAACGGAATACTTTAAAAAACAAGAGTTATTGTTCCTAAAAATATTTTTGGCTTCTATTAATTGTGCAAAACTTGTAGTGTACGCTTCATATTAAAAATCGAACTAAATATTTAAAAATCGTAATGGCACATGGAAACACTATGCTATACGCATATACACAATATTTAATAATATATTATACTAATTATATTAAATACATGTACATATTTGGCAGAATCAACATTCCTCTTTAAATAATTTTGTCACCTTTGTGAGACAAGGAATTTGATACAGCAATAATGCATAGGAAAAGATCATGATACTATGACTTCCAAGATAAAACCACCTCGCAATCGAATTTTTTACGTCGATGCGCATGACGTCAATTGGTGATAAAAGTTTATCTTTAATTTAATATTCTGAAATATATTTTATCAAAAATGCACACATTTATTTGTCAACGTACTAAATAAACGATAAAACAATACTAAATCTGACAAAACTCCATGCAAAACAGAACATTTCTGGTGATATTTGTCGCCAAGTGACGTCACACGTGCAAAAGAGATAGACTGATCGCGTGCGCGTGGGTTTATCTTTAGTTCATAGTATCATGGGAAAAGATCATTAAAAATACCACCATGAATTATACACTGTTTAGAAAAAATAAATAGTGATAACCAAACTATTACGATCAAAGCAATAAAACTGAGTATTTATTAATTTCGCATATATTATTGTTAATATTTACATAGATATTTATACTATTGGTTAAATTATTTTTAAAATATTTTTATTTTTAGCTTGAACAATTTATTATAACCGATTTGCATCCCGTATTATCACTTGATGCCAAACTAAGTTCTCATCCAATTGTTAAACATGTTGTAACGCCAGATCAAATTACCGAAATATTTGATATAATCTCTTACAATAAGGTAAGTAGTTTATAAATAGTAATAAACAAACTTGATATTTTTGTTATTATCTTTCATCTTCTGACTTAAGGTTGAAGGAGCAATTTTCTTGCTTCCTGGTTAGCGTGGGTCGGTAGATGTTCAAGATAGTTTTTTGTGAATCTACTTGTTTCTTCTCCAACGGACGGTATACAGTAGTCGTCATTCTAGGTTTTATTACTCATGTACTTGTAGTAGAATTTTTTTTTTTCATTCTGTATATCATATAAATTTGATAAGGTTTTATGTAACAATTCGAATTGCATTTTAAAGTCGTTGAAAAAGAAAAGGCATAATCTAAAAGTTTATTTGTGCTGCTAGATTCCTCTAAAGAGATAAGTACTGTCCTTTTCTTTCACTTTTATCTCTTAATTCTGCATAAGAAACAGGCGAGAGAAGTCAAAGATCAAGGAACATTGCGTGAGAATCGAAATTTATTGCGCGTCGATCCCGCTAAGATTCAAGGTTAGGCGAATTAGCATCGCAGCAAGGAACATTTCACTTTACTTTCCATTTGATAGTCAGGATGGGAGGTTAGGTCGAATTCTGATCTTAAGGGTGTAAGCACTTCACTAGTGAAAAAGACACCTTTTAGACATACGTGTTTCTTTGAGAGTGTCTGTTTTTATTTGAGGGAGCTATATTATGGTTTTCTTTTTTTTTTCTTGTTATCAAGATAATAAAACATATTGAGCTGACACAGTTCTCGCTCAATTCTATGGTTTCCTATGTCAACTTTATTGTGGAACCTCTGGAAAGAAGTTGATCGAGCTATTCGTCATCAAAAGAGTCCATATAAACTACAATCAAAGGTTGTGGTGAAACAACTATAATTTACTGTAAGGTATTTTTATTATGTTTGTTCTCTGTCAAAAAAGATTAACGGAAGCTGAAATTGTCTTAATGTATCCTTCGAAGCATACAGTGATCAGTTAAGTTTTAAAAAGTTCTATCAGTTTTATCAGGGGTATATTTTTTATATATTAAATTTTCTTCTATGTCTAGAAACTTAATAACCAATGTTTGTAGACTATAAGAGGTAAATTCTACTACATACATATCATGATATGAAAATGACCAAGATAAATTCTTGAGTTCTTATTTATCTTCATTTTTTTGTTTTGTACCTCCCGCCTAGATATGTTGACCTACTAGCAAACGATCGCCGTTGTGCTCTTCTGAACGCCTGAAAGCCGGTAGCATTGTAGACGTCTTTAAACCTAGGTTTCTTCCTTTAATCTAAATTCAAAGACAGAACATCCCCTTACGTTAAGGCTGTTTTATTGGTGCACCAAAACCTAGGAACTGTTATTTACCGACAAAATGTTTCGAAATTTGGACACAATATTCGAAACTATGTTGCTTTTAAAATGATGGTTTTACTTTTTTTATTTTTTTGTTACTTCTGTTGAAAAATTGGATTATTACTGTTTAACGTTCTATTATAATCAAACTTTTTACGCCCATCGCTTGAAAGAGTTTTTTTTTTTGTAATCGTTGATTTTTTTCACCTTTCTGTGTCCAGTAATAATCGAGAAAAGCGTGTTCAAACTGAAGAAAATTGCTAAAAAAATACTAAAATCTAATAGTGAAACGTGTTACTCATCATTGTCGCTTAGGTTCACCGTTATCGGCTTCGTGACTTCAAATCTCATGAGCGTACGGTCAGTTAGTTCGTGTTAAAACTAATTTGAATGGAGAGTAATGCATTTGTTGCCCGTTGGCCGACGCCACTGAGTAAAGATATTCTCGCGTAATAGCGGCTTCCCACGGTCGGCGATATTACGGACGTAAGCGGACCAGCACGCACCACGCACCGTGGGAAGGGTCTCGTCCGTGGTAGCTCAGGCACGTCTGTGCTGGTCCGTCCTATCCATCTAGAGTCGGTAACATCAAAGGTGCGGTACATGCTCGTGCGACGCGATCCTAGCGCGTCTGTGTTTTAACAGACGACAAGTGCAAGTCAGAAGTTTTTCATTCGCTGACACGAGTAGTTGTCTGTAGTGTTGTCAAAGTTGTTTTGCAGTTTTTTGCTAAAAAATGGAATGGACAAACGAAGTTATTTTTGATTTTTTAAATTTGTATCAAAATGAAACAAATTTATGGAATTCTACGGAACCAGAGCATAAGAAACGGAACCGATATATACGATGTATGGAACCGAATAAAAAATCAGTTGAAGAATAGTACTATTTCGATTTAAGAATTAAAAAAGAAGAGAAATAATTTAATGCCGAATTTAATGTTTACAAGCCTGAGTGGCCTTTTTATGATATAATCAAACAATACTGTCACGGACCGTAGGAAGAGCTTTGTCTGCGGTGCGTTCTCGTCCGTGCTGATCGGTTGTCCGCGATGATCTGTAGAATCGCCGATCGTGGGAAGCCACTGTAAGAAGTGTAGAAATGTAAGTGATACGTTCATTTCAAAACGCTGTGTGCTTGAACTGCTAAAACGAGTCTTAATTGATTTTGTTAGAGAACTTGGTACAGCTCCATAGTTTGCAGTACTTGCGTCTACTCGTATATGGGCTTTATTGTTCACTTGGATGGAATTATGGACTTTTGCTGTGGTGGTTGTGCTTAACTTTGATTTTGGATGCGTTTATCCAATCTGGCACTAGATTCAGGTTTATGGAATAATAATATATTAATATTTGTTTGAATAATAAAGTAACTATTAGCATTAGTAATGATAAAATCGCCATCCACGGAAAGAGAATTAACCTCTAATCTATGGATAAGTGATTTTATCATGTATATCTTGTCGATAGATAACGTCTATTCACTATCTTACCTTTTAGGGATTATTTTTGAATTTTTTATGCATAAACTGTAAGAGAGTGCTCCTTATTTACATTCTCGTGTGTTAGATAGGTACACAGTCATTATTCTCCTCTAATTTTACAAAGCTCTATAATTAGTTGTTTTTTTTTATTGTTTTTTGTTTTCTTACTGTTTTCGTTTGCTGTATTTACTTTTCCTTTTTTTATTTATCTTTCTTCCAGTTTTTTTTTTATTTTCTTATATCATTTTATTTTTCTAATATAATTGTAAATGGTTTACTATGATACAAGTTCAGGGGATCATAATATTTAAACGAGACAAGTGGACTCGAATAGACTTAGAGCTTTAAACATAGGGGGAAAACGAAAGTAATAATCTTAAACTAATACATAAAATATGCTGGTAAACATCGATGCATTTTCGGTTCTTGAAAATACAGACTGAAAATATTTGACAGAAAAAGTTTAAAATTCTAATGTAGATCATTAGTCCTCACTTAATATTATTAAATTTTTAGGGAGCATCTATCTTACGAATGCTGGAAGCCACGGTAGGCGAAGAAGTTTTCCAAAATGGCGTCAAAAATTACTTAAATAGGTACGCATTTGGCAACGCCGTCACGAAAGACTTATTAACCGAACTGCAGCTTTTAGTCGGAAATAAATTTGATGTCACAGAGATGATGGACACATTTACCCTTCAGATGGGTTATCCTATATTAGATGTTGCCATATCAGGAGATACTTACACTTTGACTCAGAAGAGATTTTTAAAGGATCCTAATGCTAGTTACAATGTAAATGAAACCAAGTTTAAGTAAGTTAATATTTATCTTCACATCATTAGCAGTAGGCCAATAAATATTATTTTTCTTCTTCTGTGAGAATCTCGTAGTATTTATTTAAAACAATGTCTTTGGGTTTTTAGCCAAGCGTGTCAGGTATTTTTCCTTGTATTGTCAGTTTTAACACTTTATATTTATTGTCGTTTCGTAAGTGGGCTAGATATTTGTGCTTGCTTTTTGTACTGTTTGAAAGACTTTCAATATCTTTGTGTAGTTTTGTTAATCGCCAACGTCAAGGGAACTTGATAGGGCACGTTAAGAAGAAGTTTAGTTAATATTTCGTTGCTGGATATATCGACGAACATAAACGCACATAGAAGCGCACATATACGTAAAAGTATAATTTTGGATTTTCAAATTTAAAAAATAAATAAGTAAATATTGGCCGGAGTTGAAATTTATGCAGTCGCACTTTACAGGAGTATTTTGAAGTATACTAACCGTGACAATTTCTCCCATTTGAAATGTTCTTCTATATGCATCTATATTCGTTGTATCAACCTTCGAAGAAATCCTAAGTATTCTTTTATAATATAGCCACATTTCGAAAACTTTCAATTTTTTGTGGATACATCTATCAGCGTCCATATTTCAGCGCTGTATTCTAGTACTGGAGAAACATAGCTTTCAAGTAGATGAACTTTACTTTTTCTTTTTAAGACTATGACTTCGATATTTGACGGACGATCTTACGTTCTCTATTCATCTGATAATCAAGGAATGGGTCTGAAATGTTTGATAAAAAAATACTTGTTAGTCAAAAATTAATCTTTTTTTATAAATACTCAGCAAAACTGATATATGCTTTTTTCTATAGAAATAGGATGTATATGGTAGATATATGACACATGAGCACCGTAAGGAGGGTTTAACTTTAAACCTCGCCAATACATTACAGGCCCTAGTTAACATTTATCGTTGCATCTAAATATGTATACATCTGTATTCTTTCAATGATTTTGTTATTAATATATAATCTGTTATGGGGACATTTAGGGAATTTGTTTGTTTATGGGCATGTATTGTATCTATTTGTGTTGAGACAGTCCATATTTCATACTAATTTCGAATACTTTGTAAATTAGCCTAAGGAAACTTTCGTTATTATTAGGGAATATCACCGTATCATCCGTGTACCTAATCTTAATTAAGTTTGGTGTCGTATATACATATACCTTTATTTACAACATCTTTAATTTCATAGACTTCAATCCGTGGCAAACCCTAAATGCTAAGAATACCCACGAGGACAAAAACAAGGGTAACAAAAACCGACTATGGAAAGCTCATAAAAATTAGAATTATTTGCGTTATAATCTTGCCATTTGTGTCAAATTTTGAACACTTTTTCCTGTTTGAATTATATCTGGTGCGTTAACTTTTTTAATATCACCATCATCATTTTCAACCTATTCTACGATTATTGTGCAACCTCCTTTACATAGTCGTTATTCATTTTGCCCACGATTGTCTAATATTCGCTTTAGTGTGCCATATTGTACAGGCTTGTTTACTAATGTCATACTTCCATTTTAATTTTGGACACCTCTAGGATACCACAGTGTAATTATTTTAGTGGACTATCTATTGTCAGTTTTTTCCCGCTAAATGTCCCGCCTCCTGTCATTTTAAAGATTTATTTCTGTGGATTACATCAGTAACCTTGATTTTCTGTCTGATCCATTATATTCCTTTTTATATCTCTTTGTTATACTCAAGATTGAGCTTTGAGTAACTGTGAGTTTCACTGTTATCTCTTTCTTTAGGTCCAAGTTTCGCAGCCGTATGTCATGATTAGTAGTATACACTGATCTAATGCTTGGTTCATTATTTTCTTGATTTCTGTAAGTAAGGGGCCAGATTTTGTATTAATTGTCTCAGTTATACATAATTGTCTACTTTCTCAAGTACAGCTTAGTATTATATTTCGCATCCACTAACTCGTTGTACATGGTCTTTGATTTTTCAAATTCATTTTTAGGACAACTTCATTGCTAGCTGCATTTAGGTCTTTTATAAGTTCTTGAAGATCTGTAGAACTATTGGCAATCAGAATGATATCGCCTGCAAATCTTAGATGGCTGAGGTATTCTCCATCAATGGATAGGCCTTTGGTCTATCTAGAGTTGCAGTGAAGAGCTTTGGTAATATTTGTCGGACGCCTATAGTAGTGGGAAATCTTGGAGTGTTTTCATAAATTTTTAATTTAGCTTTTGCTTATCTGTATATATTTGCTAGTCTCTATGTATCCTTAGTTGGTTAAAGCTTCTATTACTGCCTTCAGATGTATAGAATCGAAGTCCTTCTTGAAATCTATTAAGGTTGATGCCAGCGGTATTTCATATTCTTTAGCTCTACTCATTAGTTCTCAAAGCTTATGGATATGATCCAGGGCTGTAGTCAGCTTGCTCTCTTGGCTGTGCAGCATCTCATGCATTTGTTAATCTGTTGTTGATGTTTTTTGTGATGTCTTGTATACTTAAGTCTGTATTTTTTGATAACCTCGTTAGTACCTTTCTCTTGAATATAAATTATGTTTGCTGAACTGGTCTGGTATGCCTCTTGATCTTTGGCAGTTGGTAAATATGCCTACTAAGATTTTCCAGATTTTTTCCAGCGTATTTAAGCAGTTCCACTGTTATGCTATTTCAGCTGCTTTACTGCCTTTCATTTTTGTATTTGTCGATTTTCCTTATTCCGGAAGGACTTCTGGTACATTTTCTTGGTTACTGACTACTTCTTTAAGTGTTTCAGGGACTTTGTTTAGTTCGCTGTAGAATTTAGTCACGAGTTGTAATTTTGTCATAAATTCTGATGTTTTCGTTTTCTTAGAGCAACGATTTGCTTCTTCCCAATGATTAATGCTTTTCTTGTTTTCTTATAGTTTTTTCCGTTTTCGATTACATTTTCTACCAGTTTTTCATTGTATTTTCTTAATGTCTTACTTAATAGTACCACGTTTTACGAAATATATCTGTATAATTTGCAAACATTTTCAGGCTTCAGTCCCTCCACAAAATGGAAATCCAAACTAAACATAAGTAATTTCGTAGCTGACAAGTTGGTACCATTGAGAAATTGTGTGATTAAAATATAATAGTCGTGTACAAAGTTGGTAATTTCGGTTATTATGTTTTAGGTATAGGTGGTCTGTACCAGTGACATATGTTACAAATTTGGGCAAGTCTAGCGAATTCATACTTTTTAAATATAACGATAATCAGGGTAAGTTAATCTTATTGTATAATGTGATATATACGAATGCAAAACCAATAAAAACCACCTAAGCAAACAAATAACTATGTAAGTCAATATATATACTACGATTTGTAAGTGGTGTTTTTAATTGTAAAATTTGTGACTCCCTAAATCTCGCCAAAATAAATGTTTTGACAAAAATCAAAACCCGGTGGATTTTTATATCGAAGGTACCAATTTTTTAGCACAAATAATTCTTGCAAATTTAAACCCAGCGCTGGTGTTGCAACCGCCTAGAAATTTTTAAATGGGACAAGGAACCCATAATTTGAAAGTGTTATTACTTACACAACAGTTTTTTTTATTTTACTGGCAACATGTTAAAGTTGTAGGAGGTTGCAACCTCCATCAAACACCGAAGTTTCTAAAATTATTTTTGCATAAAAATTGGTCCCCTTGATATAAAAGTTGATAATTTTTTGGATTTTTATCAAAACATTATTTTGCTGAGGTTTACTAGGAACAAATTTTCGTTTGGAAGACTATGTATAGTAATTGCTACCAATTCATGCAACAACGTAAATGTTTTTATTTTTCCCAAAAGTCTTTATTTATTTTAGTTATTGTTTTACTTATTTTCGTGCCATATCTAACTTGAACTCCACTCCTCTGCATATACCATTAAGTGTACACGGATATAAGGAACATACTGTTTAACGTGCAATGTAGTACTTAGTAGTTTGTCATTTGCCTTTCAAGAGACAACGTTGGAATACCTTTTAGTTTTATGTATGTAGTGTAAATCGAATCCAGATCATTCACTACTCCATACTACCATACTACTCCATACTACTACTACAATATTTTACAAGTTGTTCTTCTTCTTTTTTTATGTAGACATGACTGTCTGTTTTTGAATGTACACCAATTGACCTCCAGTAAATTGTCGTTCCATCGTTTTCGTGGTGTTCCTACTCATTGCCTTTCTACTGAAGAACCATCTCTTGCCGTCTTTACTACTCTTTTTGTTCTCATTTGGCTTATATGATCGTTCCATTCTACACTTATATTTCGTATCCAGTCCTTGATGTTCTTCACCTTGCATCTACGTCGCATATCTGTAGTTCTAGCTTTTCCCGATAGTGTTTTACGGTCAATTTGTCAAGTGTTTTTATCTGTGCTGTTTCTAACATCCTTTTTGTTCTCTCTTGTCTTGAGAAAGTAGTATTGCCTCGTCTGACTAGCAGATTATTTTAAGTTGTTTTTCTACCATTGGGTATCCTTTTTAGTTCCTACTTTTTTATTATTTTATCCATAATCAGGGTTGAACAATAGAGGACTCAGAGAATCTCCCTGTCTTATCTTATGGCCAGCTTCAATAGGGTCCGTTAGTTCTTCTACTTTTACTTTTATTGTGTTGTTTTGGTAGATATTTTCGATCGTTTTAATTATTTCTAAAGGTGTCTTCTAAAGTGGATAACGTCATCTAATTTGACACGGTTAATTGCCTTCTTAAGGTCCACGAAACATAGATGTGCCAGGTTTGTTTTATTCGAATGATTTCTCTTGCACTTTCACTCATTATAAATATAGCGTCAGTGCGTGATCTTCTCGACCTAAAACCTCGTTGTTCTTCTGCTAGTGTTATATATTCATTTAGTTTATGTTTTGTTAATTTTAGTGTTGTGTTTAATAAATTAATTCCTCTGTAATTTTCCCGTTTCAATTTGTCACCCTTTTTGAAGAGAGGTATTAATATGCTTAATTTTCGCTCCTGGTAATTTTCTGTTTTTAAATTTCCTTAATGTTTTCTTTATCTCTTTCTCCTCAATATTTATTTCTTCGTTTGACGTCACCTATGGTGTTGGTGGTTTTTGTATCGTCACCTTTAGCAAATAGGGATCGAATGTAGTGTGCCCATGTTTACTTCTGAATGTCTTCCGTTTTTATTAGTTCGTTCATCTCTTTTCTTTGTCGTCTGATCATTCTCCATATTTCTTTTTGTGTTCCGTAGAAGTCGTGTTTTAAGAAGCTCTGCCAGTGTTCCCTTTTTCCTGGTTTATGACTCGTTTATAGTGGTTGTATGCCTGTTGTATTTGTTGTGTTCTGTATTGTAAAAATGCTTTCTTCTTTTCTTCACATTTTGTCTTCACTTTCGTTTCGAAACCATGGAATTTTCTTTCTCGATACGTTAGTGTTTGTTACTTTCCTCTCTCTAAGTGATTCTGTTGCTGCGTTAATTATGTTATATTTGAGTTTTTCCCAACTTTCTTCGATGTTTTCGTTTTCTATTTTATTCCCAGCAATCGTCTCTGATATTCTTTTTCTGTATACGTATTCCGTAAATACCGCATTCGACTTTGATTTTTCTTTGTGTTGGCTCCGCTCTCTTGGGCGTGAAGTATTTCATGGTGATTCTCATTTTACATAATGCTAGGCTATGGTCGCTACCTACATCTGCTGAGTTGAGCCATCTTACGTCGATTATTTTTGATGGTTGTATATCTCTGTTGGTTATTAATTAATTTATCATAGATCTTTGTCAACGGGTGTTATTGAATTATATTTGTGTTGGTCTTTGTGGTCAAAAAATGTGTTGTTTATCCTCTTTATGTTCAGGTATTTATTCTCCATTCTTATCTTTGCTGTTACAAACATTTCTGATATGTATTGAAACTATTTGATGTGAATTAATGCCTTTTGTGTAGTAGTGAGATTGCACCCTCTTTGGCCCTGTTTTCTTTTGCTACTCCACTGTAAATTGGTATGTATTCAACTAATTTTGATTTTTGTTTTGTTTTTGATTTTTTTTTTTGTTTCATGTAGAGCGCAAATGTCATATTTGTTTGTCTTTCAGTACTTGGGTTATTTTTTGGACCCTTGAGTTGAGCGACCTGATATTCCATGTAGTAATTCTTATCTGGGTTTTGGATATTTTTCGCTTATCCTTATTTTTGCCGTGGTCATATTCATAGTATAAATCCTGTTCCGAGGCTGTACATTGTTTCTTTGAGCAATATTCATTTTTACGATTGGTAGGTTGCTAACCTTGCCAATCACCCTCCACATTTTATCCGGGCTTGGGACTGGCTGTGGTAACCGTATAGCTACTCAATCCACCCCGAAATTACTCCAGGCAGTGTAATTAAATTTAATTAATTATTTTACTTGTTAACATTATTAAACGAGGAATATATTGTCTTATATTTTAGTTACCATAAAGAAACCAGCTGGAGCAACATGGCTGAAATTTAATACCGACCAAATAGGTTATTATCGAGTTAACTATCCACTCGATGAATGGAAAAATATAATAAACAACTACACTTTGTTTAGTACCGGAGACAAGACCCATCTTCTAGAAGAAACTTTCATGATAGCCGAAGCCAATCAATTGAGTTATACAATTCCGCTGGAACTGACTAAGAAGTTAAAAAGACGAAATCGATTATACACCATGGAGTGTAGCTGCATCCAATATAAAAGACATTCTTAATAGGCTTAGAGGTGCTAAGTCTGAAGTGATCTCGGCATACAAAGTAAGTGAAACACTATTAAGAACAGGTAGAGAATAACAGTGGGTAGTGTTATAATCTCCTTTCATTACGAGTTTTTTTAAATAATATAGAGCCATCCATAAACACATAATCAAAGCAGTCCACGAAATAAGCCTTCTTTCGTTTAGGTGGTTACTCACTCCCACACAGAGAAATCAAAATAACCATAAACATAACCTAACTTTGAGACATACTTATTTTAGTAATTCAAATTTGTGTGATAAACGGAGATAATATACCTGAAAGTTAGAAAGAAGGATGGATTACCGCTTCATCTCATTTACCCGCACTCTCAGTAGATTGACTGTAGTCCCACTTGAGCTGGGACAACATGCAGGATTTTGAGCTCGACGATCTTGCATCGACCACATCTACACTTTAACCAAACTAAATTAAAAAAGATTGACTAGTGATAGACCAATTCTATTATTTGTGGACTTGCCGAAAGCTTATTATACAATACTTCTATGAAGACTATGGCAAGTACTGATAAGCTTTAATTTAATCTACAATCTTCACAAAGTGGCTGCAATCGACCTTCGTAGCAATTCCAAAAAATCAAGTGCAAATTATAATTTAAAGGAAAAATTTTGAAGATTAATCAAACCTTTTTCTCTTATTCCTTCTCTTAATATATAAATTATACACTGGTCTTACCCCTTAATCTTATTTCTACTTAATCGAAAATATTCCCATATTTTGGATTAAAGATTTCACTGTTGCTTTTACTTAGTTACTTAAGAACTTTTATAAAACTTTAACTTTGAATAGTGCGTGCTGGGACATCTTTAATTTGTTTTTATTATTATTTTTTTAATAATAAGATTTTCAACTGCTGGGTTCTAGATCACTCTCCTTTTATTTATAGTCGAAGTTATATATGGCGGGTATTATATGTAACATTTATATAAATACAATGGATAGTTTGTCTACATTTTTTTAACATCATTGTTCGAGCATATTAATATCATATCCAACTCTAAGGCTTTGTTTATGTGTAAATTATGTTCTTTTTCTATTATATGATATCAAGACACTTCGAATCTATTTGGCATTAAAACTTTTTTTGATCGGACTGAGTGATACGTGGCATTTTCACCTTTTCTCTCCTCGGACAATCATCAAAATAATAGAAAACTATCTATAACCACACAACACGTTTCAACACAATCCGTTTTTTTAAGCAATAACTAAATGAATTAATTTTTTTAAATGAGTCGGTTTATCGTATTCAAAGATTTTTCAGAGGGTGTGTTGACGGTATCTCAGTGACAACATAAAAGTAAAAGGATTTCTCACCAGTATTACTATAGGGTGACATTTTTTATCGGCTTGCTAGATTTGTTAAAATCAAACAGTTTTCTTGTAAATGTTATCACTTGTACGTATGGTGTATAAAAACCTAACCTAAGTTACTTATATAATAATATTTATATAATAATATTTTTAGGAATATATTACAAAGATTGTTTCACCTGCTTACAATAAATTTACTTGGACAGAGGGCGCAAGCGATACTCATCTTGAAAAGTAGGTATCTTTTACAGTAATATTTAATTTAAAGTGTTTGTCATACTCACAAATATAAATAACGAGATCCTTTATTTCGATCTTATATATTGTTTGATTATTATTAGGTTAGCAAGACTCAAAGTACTTAGTTTAGCATGTACAGCTGATCATAAGGAAGCATTGGATGCAGCACGTTCAAAATTCAATACCTGGATAGAAACTAAGCAGGCAATATCACCAAATTTACGAAGTCTTGTATATATTTACGGTAAGACCATATTTACTACCACATACATATTTCTTTTTTAGTCAGATCAGTGGCTTTTATAAAAAAAATTCTATACAATAGCTTGCTTTCTCTCTCTCTCTCTCTCTCTCTCTCTCTCTCTCTCTCTTCTCTCTCTCTCTCTATGTCTATGTCTATCTCTGTCTCGCTGTCTCCCTATGGACGCGCAGTGATATATGAGAGTACACAGCGCATTGTACAGGTTTTAGGTAATTGTTTTATTTTCTAGATTATTTTGGGAACCCCTCATTAGCAAAATTAGAGAATACTCCGAAATTGATCCCCTAATTGAGTGTTTTTATTTTACGTATGTAATAATCTTAAGTGATAACTGTCTTATGTTACTATTCTAGGTATAGTTATAATTTCACATTTTGTTCTCTATTACGAAAACATTTTTATAACATTGAGATACTACAAATATACAGATTTTGATCTATATTGTGTGTAAGAGTAACTATAAGAATTTTTCATACAAAAATCGTGTCAGGTTTTAAGGTTTACGACGTCAGAACTCCAAAGCGTCGGCAAAACATTAGAATAGTTCATAAGTGAGAAATTTTCAAAATGTCTAAAAACTATTTAAGAATACTACACTAGTTAATTGGATTTTTAAAATGAAGAAAATATTCCTATTTTCAAAATTTTTTTTTTTCACTTTTCAGTAATGTGGAAAAAGAGATACGTTTAATCCATAATAATAGTAAGGTTTTTGTTATGTAATATTGCATCTAAATTAGGGAGAATTTAGTGTGACAACAAAAAGGACTGCGAAAGCCAGTATAAAAAAGGAAATAGAAAGTTTTATATAAAACAAAGAAGGAATATTGTGAAATGAATGGACAGAATTACGAAAATGTAAAATGGGCAGAAAGCTCAACTGATTTGAAAGATTTAAGGAATGGGTTGAATAAAACTCGCGAGAACCTAATCGAATTGGATTATAAAGGGGCCCTCCAAATGAATCTGACGACGAGTGCACCAAAAGCTAGTAGTCAGTGTCGAGATATAAACTTACCGTTTTTTAAAGGTGTCCAATATTATAATGTCAATTAAAATTGACCATAAATAAATGAAAACCCGAACTAACTTTCGAGTTCGTACGAAGAGTAAGACACTAAATTGGTCATATCTTAATAGTAAAAATTTGTTTAAGATGCACACCGGATGAGAAAACACATGCTAGCGACATTTGAATGAAATCAGCCCAGAAAATGTCGACAATACAGTGTAGAACTATGTGTTAACATCAGGAAAGATGTTTCTCGAGAGACTGAGGGCTTTCTACTTGCCATTCAGGATCAGGTTATTCCAATTAAAAATTACCTGAAATATATTGTTAAAGATCCGAGATAAAGTCCAAAATGACAAATGCTGATATGGATGCCAAACCCAAGAAACTTTTGGGATGATTCTTTTGTCTTTTTTGGGATGATCCATGTTTCATTAATGAAATCAAACTTATACAAAGATGCTTCCTTCTCTTCTATATAATTTCTTAAAAATAAAGTCTTTTTTACTGCAATATCAGGAAGTTCCATATATCCTCGCCTTGGTGAATCTCTTTCACACACAATAATCGACAAACAAACAATATTCTTACTATTAAGATAATAAATTATTGACATCACTATCCGCATTTATGCCAATTGCTCAATTGTCATCGACATTTGAATTAAAATTGTATCAGTGGAGCATGCTTTTCTGATTTATTTAATTAAAATTATTATTTTTGTAGTACTGAACTTTAATTTAATGGTTTCATAAAATTTATATTACTAATAATAAAAAATATTTTTGGTTATTTAATCAATATAATTCTAAAATTCTCAATGTAATCTCGGTTACATTGTTCATGTTATAATACGCATATGAAAGGTCGTGCTACTCCGTATGGGTTTCGTACTTTTAGCTGTGTAGGGAAATTTGAACTATTAGGTGGATGTATGGAAATTTTAAATACAAGTGTATTTAAAATCAGTTTCTATAAATCGTGACTTAACATGATTTTAGTGTGAAAAATTATATAGTTAAACAAGGAAAAAGATTGCAGATTTTAGTCTATATCTATAGCTTTTGAGGTTTTCGAACTGTTTGAATAGAAATAAAATTGGAAACGAATAATCGTGTCATTTGTTGTATCATAATATTCAATAAACTTTAGGTATTGAAGCTTTTTTGTGTTCATATTGTTTATCTTGTTTATACTTTATTGTTTATACTTTTCGTTTAAAATTTTAGGAATTCAAAATGCTTCTGAAAGTACTTGGGATAATATGTTGCAAATATATATGAATGAAACTGATGCTTCAGAAAAAGTAAAACTTATGGATGGTTTTGACAAGTGTAGACAATGTTAATTTGCTGAAAAAGTAAGTATTTTATAATTAAAAAAAGGTAATTATGGTATGTGTTAGTATATCTTAAAGTTACAAATATTATTAATATTGTGGTCATGATTGATGGGATAAACGTCAAAGTTCTTTTTTTTATTTACACTCAAGGCATATCTACCTCTGTAGTTATTCGCGCCACTCGGTATTACAAACAATTTATTTTATTTACTTATATTTTTGAAAGCATAGCTTTCTTATCACAGTATGAAAAGCAATGAAACGACTGTAATGAATGATCTCGCGACTACACACTACGTGGATTGTGTCATGCGTGTTTATTAATAAAATAAATAAATAAATAATTCAATTAAAAACCATCGCTCCATACGTGGACGATAAGAAAGCTATGCTTCCCCTCCCTAGCCATTCACGGAGTGCCACATTCTTTGTTTTATATTTTATTGTACAAGATCACAGATTTTATGAAACAGAAAACCAACGAATGTAAATAACTGTTTTTTTTTTTTCTAACTCAGCACGTAAATGTTGCCGCAAATTATGCTGTTTTCAGTGTACAGGTAAACTCTTCGTACAGTTAAAGCACAATAGAGTTACATTCGTGTGTTAATCGTGTATGGCCTAACCATAATCTGTTTAATATGGTTTCATCTATTGGTGTCAATTTTGGCTGTAAGTCTCTTCTACTAATTCTAAGTTGTGAATTGAATATTTGGCTGCAGACTCGACTCTATTATTACCAGGTATACCGATATGCGATGGAATTCATAAAAATTTTACATTGGCATTCATTTTTGCAGCTTATAAAAATAACACATCACTGTAACAATGGATCATTAGGGTAAATGTTGTTTAAACTATTGACGGAACTAGTATAGTCATATATAATATCATAAGAGAGAAAATTTTGCAGGCAATATTTTCGACTGGTATAAAAGTTTGATGCCGATGATGGCGTATTTCGCGAATTAAATTTTAACAGTTAAATCACTGATAAATCAGTAATCACTGATAAATCAGTGATTTTGTCAAAATATCATAAGCGAAAATCGCCAAAAGGCAACAAACTTGAATAAAACCAGAAGAAAATGTTGCCTGTAAATAATTGGTAATGATATTCAACACATAATTGGTAATTAATGCACCATATCAACGAAACATAATTTTTATTTGTTAACAAAATTAAATGTATAAGTATTATAAGCTATAGTAGTTTGCCCATTCTTTTCTATACTCTGTTTTTTAACCAGGAGGAGTAAACCAAAAAGACAGATTCGCACTCAAGAAAGTTACTAGAAAAGTCACCAAATACATCTTCTTTTTTTTGTTGATTATCTCGGCCTTGCGCTAATCGAGTAATCAATATTGGACAACCTCACACGTCAATTTTAGCCTAACTTTGTTTATTTATGTTTGAATAATAATTTTTTTCAATTCACTTTCAATATATATTACAATAAAAAAAGGACGTTTTTCACATTTGGTCCCATGTATATATATTTAAATATCGAGTGATCCAGTTTTATAGATCTCTTAAGTCTATGGTATTTAATTATAATTTAGAAAATATTTTGATCGGGAGAGTCATACTAATGTTACAGATCTAAGTATGGTTTTTCTCAGAAATTTGTCTTTTAATAGTAGACCATATTCTTATCCTGGTATGATCAATTTCTTGAATCTAGTTTTTTTTTCTTACCAGATACTTTGTATAAATAAGTGTGTACTTACAATTTCTTTAATGCTGGATTCTTATTTAATTTTGATAGTGAGTTTGTCCCATTTGTAATCAACAAATAAAATTTACTAAAAAATACTGGATTTCTGTGAGATAATCAACAAATCCAATCTATTATGTTACATTCTTGCATAATTTTGCAATTTTCTTGTGATGACCTACAACCAGGAATAACAAAACCAACTGTATCATACAATAAAACTAAAACACATTACTTTACTAATGTTCTTTTATTGTGATGAAAACAAAATGTAAATGCTTCTTAACAAGTATACACTAAATTTAAAAGATAGTTGCCGTTTTTCTTATGATAATCAGATATAAATAACATACATTTATAAATTTATAAACACTTTAAACTATATTTAGTATAAACATTATCTAGAAAAATATCACATTAAATACTATTCGCATATTACCAAGTCCAAGTTATTACAAAAAACTTAAAAGAGTCAGAAAGCGATTTATATATTAGAGGAAAATAATAATAAGAAATAAATTTCACAAATGTCATTAGTGTCAATTTGTCATAATTTAGTGGAGTAAACTTGCCTGCGGTTGGACCAATTGCAAACAAGCTATACGGCGCGGAAAATTTGAATTACTCCTCCTAGTTAAAAAACAGACCATACCAAAGCATGTTTTTTTGTATTATTGACCTGTAGCATTTGGGAACTCGAAGGTCCAGCTTCATTTGTTGTTCTGAGATTTTCGATCAACTTCTGGTGGTGACTGGAATCCAGCTAAAGATATGGTTTTAGAGAGCTTGCATTTGAGAAACCTGTTAATTTAATTAACTCCTGTTCAGAAACACCTTGCTTGAACAAGGCTGACACAGCTGAAGATCGAGGAGAATATTTTGTTATTTTATGTTTTTTTGTGTCTATTTCAATTTTTTCAGCTGACATTTTTGTCCACTTAGATACAGTATTGATTCCAAGTGGACAGTTTTTAAACCAAGATCCATCCTTTCAGTTTGGGTGAACGGTAAGAAAGAGTCTGTCTGATCTTTGGTCCTTTTTTTCCATTAATTTCGAAAAAAAACTAACTGGTCATAAATTTTCGTTTGATGAATTTCTTACCAGCCATTTGCTGCTTGCCAAACTTTTCGAAACGCCTTGATTTGTTTTGGAAAAAATGTCCTTGTATTCAATTCGGCCCGTAAAGTTTCCCATAACATCAAATTCCTTTTGGAAAAAGTTAATCTTGCAGTTTACGGCCTTATTGCCTCTCCAAGCAAGTTCAAATGAGCAAAGGTGAAAACTCTTTTTTGTGCTTCATCGGGGGTTTCCTCCTTTTCTTGAATAATTTGAAGCTGCCTTCGCTTGTTATCTCTTGCCAATCTTGCACATTTGAAAAATATATGTATCTGTGAAGGGGTCGATTTTTGTACTCCGTAAAATATTTTTAATGTACTATTTTTGTTATAGTATGCAACATTGAATTTACAGACTACTCTTTATAGTCTTCGCTATTGCCTTTTTTTCATGTTAAAGGCATAATTCTCGAAAATTTTTGCTAGTTCCGTTATGATAGTACATCGTTCAAGCGTAAAATTTCTCATTCGTATGACTCCGAAAATGAAGTCCAAATAGAGCTTCTGGACCTCTGCGTGTTCAATGGGAGTTTTTTGCGAAATCAATTTTTTGTCTCTGTCCAAAATTGATTATGCCTCAATGACTTTTGTCAATCTTACAAGAATAGAATTATAAGACACCTTCGTGTCGATCAGACAAAATTATAACAGACAGATCTGTCATATTGGCAACGTGGCGTTGCTATGACGTTTTATCAGTTAAAAAATAGTCTAGTGAAATAGTTGGTGTATTTTTGGAAGTTACTAGTCTTACTATAATATAATTTGGCCTTAAAGGAGGCATTTAGTTTCTTACTGGAACCTGTTAAACTTATGTCAATGATAGGCTTTCTCCAAGTAGGAGAAAGAGTTTGTGAGAGAACGGTTCATTCTACAGAAAAAGTGCTAATTAACATTTTTGTTTATAATTATCTCAGTTACATTTCTTATTTAAAACATTTTTTATTTTAATTATTTTAGATTGTTGGATTTGGTTAAAAACGAATCTGTGGTAAGAGGTCAAGACTACCTTGTTGTGTTAGGAAGTATTTCAATCAATCCCAAAGGAACTGATCTAGTTTGGGATTTTGTTAGGTAAGTATATATATATTGAATAAATCTATATAAATAAAAATAATGAATATTCGAAATGTTTGTAAGCGCATAACTTCAGAACAACTGCACCAAATTAGATAATTATTCTTTTATTGTGTTTGTTATTATCAGGAGAAAGATTATGTAAAATAATTGTACGGAAAGACGTAAAAAGAGTTTTATATGTTATTTTAAATCGCAATATAACTAATAGATGGCGGCCGTACGATGACTAACAAAGGAAGCTATGGTTAACAAAATACATGTCAGTATTGATAGATTGACATAACGACATAGCTGTATTTGGTATTCCGACTCCAAATAATAACGAGGAAGTTTCAACATGTTAAATGGGAAAATATGTCAATAGCTGTTCACCTAGTGAATGGACAACGACTTAATTTCACGAGAAAAAACACAACACCAACAACTGAATGATACCCAACGACAACGGTGATAACGGAGACTTAACAACATAATAAATTGTTACGTAGATTTAAGTTTAGCGACACAGCCGTTTCAGACTCGGCCTAATTAAGTGATACCCAAAGTTTGGAGAGAGTTTTCTATCATAAACTTTTTTTTCGACGGGCACTCTAACTATATCAGCCAATACCGTTGCGTTACCAACTTTCTTTAATAATAATGATTGAATTTGTATTATCTTCTTCTTTTTCTTCTTCTTCGGCCTTCATTTATCCATTGTTGGACATAGGCCTTCTCCAATTGCTTCTACGCTTCCCTATCTTTTGCAATTCTCATTCACTGCTTTCCAGCTACAGCTGTTATATCGTCTATCTATCTCTCTAGGGTCTACCCACGCTTATTTTTGTTTCTCGAATCTCGAATCTGCATTTTCACTGATAGGACTGTCCGAAGAGTTCCTACCCGCTAACCGGTGTGTATTGTACATACGATAAATATTCATTTTGCTTATTCATGACAAAATTGAGGTAGTGTATAGAAATTTTTGTATACCGAAGATATATGGATGTACGCAGTGGAGGTCGCGGTTTACATCGATGACAGGCAGAACATTCCTTCCTTTCAGTGTTCTTTGCGGTTTCTGGGCTGACTGACATGTATCAGTTAGCGGGAAAGTTAGCATCCTTACATTATAAAATTATGTACATGAACAACAGTAGTGACGACAGTGAACGCCTTCAAGTGAAAAGAAGTGGATCATTTGTAATTCTTTAAATCGCCAGCTTTCGGCTCATTCTATAAATAAAGAAAGACAGTATCTAAGAATACCATAATCTGTTTTAAAGAGCTATAAAACACCACTTAGATAGATTTTATGCTTATAAGAGAATGGAATGAAATGCATAATACATTTCAATCATACCATCCATATCTCAGGCGAATGTCACGTGGTTTGAATACCACCAATAAAGTTGTAATTTTCCACGTAATCTACAGTTCGATTGCGATGATGGGTCGCGAGGGTGAACGGGTGAAACATTCTTGGTATGTGCGATCTTATAAGGAAATGAAGGTTTGTTTTAACATCAAAATATCGACCACGACCGCGATCTCCGTCGCACACATCCATGTATCTTCGGTATGTCCGTACCCTTAGGATCGTGAGGAGGTCAACTTTAGATAAAGTATTTTCACCCAAACAAAGGCAATCACGGAGATCACTACCCTGGCTAGTTCATGTAGATCTAAAAGACCTTGCTGGACTGATGGTTAGCGGCAGAAAAAAGCCTGTTCCTTTCGGACTGAAATATTTAAACATCGGTAGTTCCAAGTAGTAGGAATATTCTTGGGAAAAATAATTGAAATCGGATATATGGATATTAAAACTTTGAGATACCAGGGGTATCGAAAAGTTAGTAGACAAACAGAAAAAAGGTAGAAGTTGCTCGCAAATTATTTTGGTTTTTAGGATAAAACCACAACAGTAAACAAAAATGAAGGGTCGTTATATTAATATAAAATTATTTAAAAAGGGGAAGAGAGAATGATTGACCGAAAATTAGGGAAAAAAGATATAAAGAAGGGGTTACGTTATGCAGAACGTAACATATTTTTGTATAAAACTATAACTAGATAAATGTTTGTATAAAATTATTATTTTTAGATCAAATTGGGAATATTTAGTAGGAAGGTACACCTTAAATGAGAGAAACTTGGGCAATCTGATACCTAGAATTACTAGCAGCTTCTCTACTCCCGAGAGGTTACAAGAGGTAAGTTGCTGACATCTTATATCGTTTTATAGAACTAATAATCGGATTTTAGATGGAAGACTTCTTTAAGAAATACCCAGAAGCTGGAGCTGGGGCAGCTAAAAGAAAAGAGGCTTTAGAAACCGTACGGAATAATATGTTATGGGTTTCTAATTATAAAAAAACCATAGAAGATTGGATAGTTCATCAAAGTGCTATCTGATTTGATTTGTTTTAATTGTGAACTATGTTTTTTACACTATTTTTATTAATGTACTTGTAAATAAATATTATTTTTAATTATTGTTGTTATTTATAGTATTTTATAGATATACAAAAAATCTGGTGAAACTCTTTAAAGAACAGTAACAAAAAAGTTGAGGCTGACAAAATTAATATCCAAAAAAGGCTAAACTAAACATAGACATCATAGAGGTCCTGTAGGTATAGTTCAAAATAGAGAACTGTGGGTTAATCATTCATTAACAAAGATTTTTTTAAATGGCCTAATTTATATATTTTCGACACAGTTGTTCCATATGTCCTTTGTCTATTCCTTATCTCCAACTTATTCTTGGTCTACCTCGTTTTCCCTCCTGCCGTCTGGTTACCATTTTAGTATTTCCTTTGATATTCTCTGTTCATCCATTCTTTGTATGTTCCAACCAGATAACTTGTTTTGTTGATAAGTCATCTGTGATCGTTCGTTTGATTCTCAATATTTCTATAATGCGTTTGTTGTTAATCGTTTCTCTTGTAGATCTTTCTGCCTCTCTTCTCCAAAAATTCATTCCCTTTGCTCTCAGCGTAGCCAATGTTCATTCTTTCAGTGGCCATACCCACAGCTGTGTAGAGTGATACTTTTCACTATCGTCTTATTATTCTCTTTGCTGATGATATGGTTCCACAAAATACTGTATTATATTAAAAGTAAAAGATTCATGAATTATAAAAAAAGACGAAGAGATGAGTTGTAAATAGTAGATATATATCTATAATTTATGAGATAAGGTGCGAAATATGTTATACAGTAAAATCTCCATTAACCGAAACGGCTGACAGTTTAAAGAATTTCGTCAATAAAACTACATTGTGATTGAACAGGAATTCGAGGTTATTCAAATGATTCATAATGAAGAGATTTTGCGGACAGTCGCAGTCGATTTTGACGTTGGCGTTTATACAGTTTTCGATTGAGTTAAAATGAAAAGCAAATTTGAGGAACATGCTTCGAAAATACCAAACAAGAAAACTATGAAACTAAGTCAAAATGAGAAGGTAAATTAAAACTGTATATTTGTGGTTCACATAACAAAGAGCCAAAGGAGAAATGTTAAGCGACGAAGATCAAGGAATTAAAGCTCGGGTGGCTAGAAAAATTGAAAAGTAGGTACGCTATTCGTCAAGTTAATTTATATGGAGAAAAGCTATCTGCTGACCACGATGTTGTAAATATTTTTAAAACTATAAAGGATGAGTTTTTGTTAGAAGCCAAAAAAGCTCATGGATGTCGACCACTTTATTTTTAGAATGGTTTGAGAATGAACTCATCCCAAGTGAAAAATTCCTTTTTAAAATCGACAAATCTTCCCTTCAAATCATTGGGGTTTGTTGGCAATGCACCAACTAACCCTCACCTTTTTAAAATCAACAAATTTTCTCTTCCAATCATTGTGGCTTGTTGGCAATGCTCCAACTCATCCTCACCTTTTAAAAATTGTGACATAATTTTCAGATTTTTACCACCGAATGTCACTAGCTTAATTCAGCCTTTAGACCAGGGAGTAATAAAGATATTATAGAGCAGCATTCTTAAGAAATCTGATATTACAGGAAACGAATGAATCCAAAAACGTTCCCGAAATTCTCAAATTTTTAACAATGAAACATGTTGTTTATTGGTGTGCTGAATCGTGGGCCAAGATCAAATTTTCAACATAGGAAAAAATGCTGGAACAAACTTTTTGATAGAATTTTGGTTGACGATCTTGAAGTAGCAAATGTTGAAGAAACGACTGATAAAATTGAACCTTTAATAAAAATTTGCCAGAATGTGACGAAATTAACCAAGAAAAGATACGTGAGTGGTTAGCAGCCTATGATTCACTGAATCATAGGCTGCTAACCAGCCTATTCAGTAAAGTGATTTGATCGACCATGACATCATTGACATTGTGCTTCATCCAGACGACCTGAGGGTATCAGGCGACGAAGATGACGACCAAACAAAAGACAGGCAGTACATTAGAGATTTTCAATGCCTTAGAGGTAAGAATGTTATACAGTAGGCCTAATTGTTTACATCGTTAAGTTTTGTTGTTATTGCATAACGTTTTGTCCCTTTCAGATTTCTTTACGTTTCGTCTATCTACAAAAAAACCATTTAGAAAAATTATATTTTGTAACGATAAGACTACCAAAGATAATTGAAGTATTATTGTAAAAATAATACCTCAATCAACCATGGGAGCTTATAATATATTCCTTGCCTAGCTCAGTATCTCAAGGGTGAATTCGTCTTGTCTTCAACTAGGGATTGAACCTGAGTTCTTTGCTGATAGCAAATAAGACAAATTTTAACCAAACATATTTATTAAAAGAACAAAAAACAATAATTAACCCTGCCAAAGCTTAGAAATTAATAAGTGATACTTATTGCTTCGATTGGCTTCTTGTGTGTTCTAGCTGTTAGGTCCTCCAATTAAATGTTGTAGCTTCTGGAGAGCTGCAGTAACATGTGGGTCTATGTCCTGATTAAGTTGTTAAGTCCTCAAATGGATATGGTCAAGAAAATACCAATGTGGTCAATAAATTCTTCAAAATTATTTAATAAAGCCGCCAATATGCCCAATAAACTAAAATACCAGAAACAGCTTGCATTAGAGACACATCAAAAAAGGTTTAACTTCCTTGCCATCTTACAAAATTACAATTAAACAAATAGCGTATGGCGAGGATAAAATGAAATATAATTATTACTGAACTTTAGCTAAATTTTGTTAATATTTCTAGATGCATATAATCGGAAAAAATTTTAATTCAGAAGCGTGATTTGGTGAAAGAAGTTAATGAAAATTGGAAATGCGGTCAGAATTATAGAATATAGATTACAATTAAAGTACTTACCCAAGAGAATTTGTAGAATAAAAAATGAGTCTTATAATAATTTTTGCCTTCTTTTATAAATTTCAAAAAGAGGGGAAAAGTAATCCCACCATTAACGTTATTGACAGAAAATAGGAAGGGGCCGACTGAATGAAGTTAGCACAGATCATGAAACTAGCTTGTCTGTCAACACGGAACAGAATATTTAGTCTAGCGGACAAAAATAGAGAGGGCGAATATTTATTCTACGGGACAGAAAGAGAGAGAAAATAAAGACAGAGAAGAAAAGAACAACAGAGTGAGTCAACTACTTTTTAAATAAAAAATATTAAAAATGAAACTGAAGATAAAGAAATTAATAAAGTAATAAAGAAATTAAAATGAAATAATAATTTAAATATAAATTAATAGAGATGTGACGTTTATAACGCTACAATTTAAATGATTTTTATAAAAAACAAAAACATTTGTTATATCTTGAGCAGTGTACTAAGTTCGACGGAAGTTTCTATATGCAAGATAGCCAAAACATCGAGGCAATGGAGGAAAATGATATATATAAATATCTCTGAGTGAAGCAAACTCGGAAAATTGCGAGCTTCGCTCGTAACCAGATCAGTTTCGGGTTACGAGCGAAGCAGTAACATCTCCAGAAGATGCCAACCCCTAGTATTGGCGAAACTTCGAGAACTAATCTCAGAAGACAAAGGCCTAACAGCCTAAACAAACAAATTAACAATATTTCTAGTGTTTGGAAAATACAACATTTACCCCTTATCGAAAGGGGTAAATATTTACCCCTAACCGAAATTATAGGCCCTGCTGATATTTTTAAATATTCCATAAACAATGAAGTTCTCGACATTATTGTCACAGAAACTAATCGTTATGCCACTCAATAAATAAACAAAGGACATGCCGAGAAGTCAACAGTTAAAAGTTGGAGTGATACAGATATAAATGAAATTCATGTTTTTCGCTATTCTTATTGTTATGTGGATTACAAAGGTGCCATTCATAAGCTCTTATTGGTCAGAAGATAAAATGTTCCATAACGAGTTTATAGCCTTAACAATGCGTCGTGACAGATTCTTGCTACTTTTAAAATTCATACATTTTGCCAATAATGCGCATGCGCCACCTGGTGATAGACTAAGCAAAATTCGAAACATATTAAACATTTTAGTAAAAGAATATAATAATATTCTAAACGCTGGAAGGGTACTAACTATTGATGAGACAATGGTGCCTTTCAGAGGTAGACTACATTTTAGGCAATACATCCCTAACAAATGCCATAAATATGGAGTCAAACTATCTTCTTCTTCTAGTTCCATGACCGTTATCGATCGTTGGATATCATGTTGGCTACCATATTCGCTATCGTGACTTTATTGACAGCAGCTCTAAATAACGATGTAGTTGATTTTCCATACCATTGCCTTAGATTTTTTAGCCATGATGTTCTTCTTCTACTAGAACCACGATTACCTTGGATCTTTCCTGAATGATCAGATGTAAAAGATCATATTTTTCAGGGTATCTCATAATGTGACCGAAGTATTTCAGCTTGCGTTTCTTTATTATATTGACCAGTTGTGTTGTTTGGTTCAGCCGTCTAAGGACTTCCTCATTTCTAACTCTGTCGACCCAGCTTATTTCAGTAGTCACCTGTATACTCACATCTATGAGGCTGTCAAGCGTTTAAGGATAGCCTTAGTTAGAGCCCACGCTTCCACTCCATACAGCAGGACAGGAAAGATGTAGCAAGATGTCATTCGAACTCTAAGGTCAATGCTAAGATCGTGACTGCAAAGTACGTTTCTCATTTTTACAAAGGCAGCTCGGGCTTGTTCTATTCGGCTTTTAATTTCTGCGGTTGGATCCCAGCTCTCATTGATATTACTACCGAGATATATGAGTTTATCTACTCTGTCCAGTGTGGAATCTCCGACTTTTATACCGTCGTTCTGTATATAATTTTGTTTGCTAACTATCATATATTTAGTTTTTTTAACGTTGAGTTTTAATCCATACTGATCACAAGTCTGTTTTATTTTATTCATTAGATTTTGAAGGTCCTCTCCGCAATTAGCAAGCACTAAGATATCGTCGGCATATCTAATATTGTTGACGGTTACTCCTTTCATAATAATACCTCCATTAAGGCTTCCTTAAATATTTCCTCCGAATATAAGTT